TTAAAATATTATATGAATATTTCACTACGTTTTAAAAATCTTGGAAAAATCTTCAGCAATCATCCAGGCGTTTAAATTACTCGATAAATAAAAATAAAATATAATTAATAATTTGCAAAGATCAGTTGATGGGGAAAATGTACCAATAAACATATAACAGTATATAACGTAACACCATCCCATAAGGCCATAACGTCCACAAAAAATATACATATACGAGTACTGCCACATTAAAATGTATATTATTATTATTATAATTATTATGTTATGCCATTATAACTTTTAAAAATTTAAACATCAATCAAAATCAATAACTATTACTAATAAGTTAATAATAAAATTATTWTATTATCTATATATACATACTACACAAACACCAAACCAAATGCAACCGACCGACGACGACCGACTACAATACTGCATCGACATACTGATGTTTTAGGCGTACTAATTTACTACTAAATTTTTGAACTATAATTAACAAGTTTTCTGCTGTAGATTGTAGAACGTATGTTACATATTAAGTAAGACCCATATTATATGTAGCATATTTCTATTTTGTGTGATATACCTAACCTAGCCACCTTGGCCATAACCCTCAATTATATTTAGGTACTTCGTACTTACTGCAACAGTAGGTACTAAGTAGATACCTACAAAGTCATAGMCAGCAAGCGATATCGTGAGGGTAGGGTAGAGTATTAATATGTTTTTGACCAGCAAGTTTTAAAATTTAAAATTTAATTTGATAATTTCGGAGGGGGAAGAGGTTTAAAACCTAACTCTCCCCTGGCTACGCCCTTGCCCCTTAGGTATCTAATATATTTGCGCAGCACTACCAATTTTCAATCACGGGCATGCGTTCTAAATCGTTCTGTTTACCCTGCGATGAAATATAGGTAGTCACTGTCTAGCCAAGTATAATATATATAACCATATAGGTACTAAGGCACAGACGTTGATTTCTTTTAATTTATACGTTTACATGGTTCGCTAATTTCTGTATAATATCGATATACCTGTATAGTATTATATTATATTATATAATGACTTGCCTAAAAGATGGTTTGTTTTTAATACCCGACCCCGAAAACGTTCAAAAGAATAATTAAAGAATATAATTTTGGATTTATATATTATACCTATCTTGTGTGTACCTATATGTAAGTACAACGTACCGCTATGTATAATTATTATTATTAAGTCAAGTGGTCGTCGCGCGAAGTTTAATGTTGTTTAATATGCGTGACTGCGAAATGGCGTTAAACGAGAAATGCACAACACGCTTATTTAACCTTACACAATCGCTTACCACCTACATAATTTATTCCAACTGATTTTTCAAATTTTTTGGCAATCAAATCTAAGAATTTACGTGACTCTAAAAGTTTACTTGTTTTTAATATCGTATATGTGGGTATCATTTAAGATTTAATCTTTAACCTTTAACATTTACTGTTCAATTTATTAAGTATATAACACAGTACCTAATAATATATTTTATATTTATGGTACCTTCATTTAATAATTAATACATATTTTCTTGAACCGATTTACCTAAATATTATGCCGCTACAATTTAGTGTCACGTCTCCATCATACTCGTCCTGTTACTCCACGTGGTCCCGAAATGTGAATATGCCCAGGTCGCTTTTTATGCGTAACGAATGACGATACAATAATAATTATATATAATAGCAATATAAATATATAATTAATAATTATATATAATGCCTGGGCCCTGTATGATAATTAATTAGAATAATTAGATACATGGTATCTTGAAGATGCTGGCGTGTATTGTGTTATATTATAACTTATAATAATTAATAATGTAATATAAAATACTCGCTGTGCTTTGTCCGAATAGTGTCTTTTTTTATTCCTTGTTTGAGGCTTTCTCGTTTTGCTAGTATTTTCTCGTATAATAATATATAATATTATATATAAGGCTAGACGCTAGACCACTCACTCTCTATCTCTCTTTGCAGATGTCTCTCTGTCCATCTTCGTCGCAAAAACCTTTTCACAAAACACCGGCCGAAACCTCAAGTGTTCTTACCCCGCGGCTTCCCACCCTCATCCATCACATATACACACGGTCATATAGTAGTCATCCACTCGAAACACACACAGAACAGAAAAAATAACACAGCGTTCGTCCCGCACAAAGCGTGTACAACGACGCAGATGTGCTCCGAATAAACCGCACGAACCATATTATATATTATTGTTATCATATATATATATATATAACACGAGTAGGTTCGCGGGGGCGTGTTCAATCAATTTTCTCTCTGTCCTCGCGCGCATATAGTATATCGGTCACACGCATTTATTATCTTACTTATAACCTGCAATACCTGCATACACCGGTGTTCCAATATTCGAATCTTTGAATTTTTCCATAAGGTAGGTATGTATTATATTAACTATACGTCGTCGTAACAAATTATATTATATACACTCTTGTACACTCGCGAGATTTTCTTGAACAATATTGTGGAAACATTTTGCGAAAGATATAGGTAGGTACCTATAAATTTGGCAAATAAAAATAGGAGTTTTTGATTCAACTGATTGTGAAGTATATCTAATATTTATACGAATCTCGTATGAATAGATTTACTTCGGAATATTATGGGTATTGAATGCATCAACAGCCGGCTCGTTAACTACTTTGTCGACATTATTTTATTTGTTTCATAGGTTCTATTGGTTCTAATATTTAATATATTGAATTACATTTTAAGCAAAACATTTAATTTTTATTTGATTTTTGAGTACACTTGTTGTTGTATGCTATCTACATTAATAAAGTTATCTACACATTTTCCCTTTCTGTTTTTAATACATTAACGGCTAATCTTATGCTTGTATTCGTATATATATGCTTCGTCAATTATATGTGTTCGGTGGTTGTTAAACGTGTGCGTATTTATATTTTAGTGTTTATTCAAGTTTTTATGAAAATGAATAATGTGGGTGATTTGTTCAGAAATAATTTTAATGATGAATCTTAAGTAAAATAAAAAAAAATAAAAATAGGAAATAACAAATAACCTAATTCAAATGTATGTATGAATGAAATGAAGAGGATATCATAAGTGTGTCTAGGGGGAGGCTTACCTCCCCCCAGTGGGAATACTAGCTCCCCAGAATGTTTTATTTTCGCGTTTTTTTTTATTATTATTAATTGTTTTTCCAGCTCCCCCCCCCCAAAAAAAAAAAAAATAAATATTTGATCGCCCTACGTCTATGGGTGATGTGTGTATTGGTGACATTAAAGAAACTTCAAAAAATAATCAAAAATGGCAATCAATATGTACCTAAAATTCATTTTTCACATACGTTGATAAAAGTGATAAAAATAAAAGTGATTAGTTTAAGTGAAAAATTTGAACTTTTTTGGTACTGGGTAAATGCATTTAAAGTAGCACAAACCGTAAAAATCACAGGTAGAGGTCATCATACAGCTTCGGGTTGATTCAATCTTCAATCTACTCGTATCTCTAAATTATGATGGCAGAGCCGTTTAAAAAGCGTGGAAAATGATWRRAAAAGGATTACATAATAGTACTAACTACAAATAGATTGTAAAACCCTATCAAGAACTTCATAAATACACATAGAGGTAATAGGTACTCAAACTTAAGAAATCGAGTGTAACGGAAATATGTAAAAGTTAAATACAATACTACGAAAAGCAATAAATTTACTCGAAAAGCAATTACAGTAAGAATAATGGCGTTCAGTYCATCGGACCAGGTGTTTGAAAGTTTATTAAGAAACATAAAAAATTAAAAAGACACTTGTGTATAAGACGATTATGATTTAAATTATACCCCTAAAACTATAGTCTACAAGCTCCGATAAAAAGGTTTAGGTAAGTTAAGAATACATTTTTTTGAATAGATACCTAGCACACAACACAAATAGTCATTTTTAATAGATAGCATACACGCCGGTTTTTTTCTAAAACCTATGCTTTTTATATTCAAAAATTCATTTTATAGTCTAGAAAACGTATAGGTACAATATTAGAAGATAGGCAACTTAACTAACGTTATACAATATTATTTATTAATTAACAACAATTGTAAGTATAGTGTTCATTCAGTTCCTCTTTGGTTTCAATATTTTAAATTATAATGTAATTATAGTTATAATTGTATATTTAAACTGAACATYTTCCTAGACCTAATCATACTGTATCAACAAAATAGTAAAATACCAAGATCACATTAAATTTGAAGTTCTAATAAGACAATAGAAATACCAGAATATATATTATTGTTTCACATGCACATATTAATCATTGATTAAATATTTCTATATTTTATAATCAATAATAATATTATTATCAATCCATTTTTATAACTTATGATTCATAAATAACATTAATATTAACTATCATTTTTTCAACATATTTGAAAAACATTTACTGATTGTTATTCTTATATTCTTCACATTTGGAACACTTTTTTATTGAAATAAAACCTCAAGTGGATGTCAACGTACAACTTGTTTTCACTCCCCAACCCACACTCAATATAGGAAATTATGTTATTTTAGAAAGTTTATCCAAGTTTTTATGCAAGTTGTGACTGGGTACGTAAAATAATAGAATTTAAAATTAGTCCAATCTTACTTTAAATTTAATATCATAAAAAAGCCAGTAACACAGATAACATTTTATAACTTTAATTTTGATAATAAGTCAATTCACTATAATACTAAATGCTAAAAAAACAACACAAGGATGGTTTCACTGAACATAAATTTTGTATGTTGCATGTGACCATGTGAGTTAGAAAGAGAATACAAATAATGCACCAACATCCAAGGAGATATTAAACACCACACCCCCTTGAAGTTTAAAACTCGTACTAGGGAATTTATTCATTAAAAAAACAGATGGGAGTTCTTGTTGACAAACTACAAATCCATAAGAAATGGTAGGAATTGTTATTGGGTAATAAATAAAAATATGAATCAAAATCATCAGTTAGTTAAATATAACTAAAATATTGATGTATTTTTTTTTTTTTAATTTAAAATATTTAAAAGGACATTACACCCACATTATATGTGTTGTCTATATCTTATAAATGTATAAACTGTTTAGCGCAGGAAAAACTACTTGGTCAAAAATAATAGTTAAAATTTCCGAATTRATCCACACATTTTCACATATTGAAAACATTATCTGTGAAATAATGTTTTTATTTTTGAATCACTTATTGTTTCAAAGTATATATTTTTTGTGTATTTCAAACTTAAATAACTGTTTGTCTGTTTTTGTAATTAAGATTTCAGAAAAGGTTCTGAACCTAACCCTTTTTTTTTATGTGGTTAAAATATTTTTTCTTAGTTATACCTGTAGTCTTCTCGCTTCTTTCCAGCACGAAACAGTTTTTATTTAGTTTTAAATTTGTAAGACCAAGATAAGATTATATAAGTGGGTCTAATGTACTTTTAATGAAAAATATAAAGACTATTTATAATATTAGAATTGATACAGTATGCCCATAAAACAATAACAAAACAAGAAAAAAAAAAGATGTTTCACCTAAATTTTTTCCTGTATCATCAGCTACAATGCTACATAATCGCCTTAATAACCGCCACTAACTGCAATTGACGTACCAGTAACGTATGAACTCTTTTCAGATGCCAAAAAAGTAACTACTTCCGCTATTTCTGTAAAATCAAAATTAGACCAAATTAAACAGTATCCATACTCACATTTTATTTAAAACATTAATAATAAATTTAAAAAGAATATAATATATTTTTAATCATTTGTATAGATAATAAAAAAAAAAATTTGAAATTAAATATATAATATTATAATATGTTTATTTTTAATTTAATTATTTTAATATTTGCACAACTATCAGCATTCATACAGCACAACTTTTTTAAATGCATAAATGATAATTAATACAAATATATAGATATGTGTGTAATTCAATATACTAAAATTACAAACGTTTCATGAGATCATTTATCATTATACTGGTAAGCAAACAAGTGGCTAAAAGACTAAATTCAAAGTCTAGTTATGTAAGCCATTTGGTGAAAGGCTATTTAATACGGAATTATCCAATTTGTAAAATGGAGTCAAGTCAAAATTTTTATGAATTTCTAGTTTAAATAATTTCCGAATTTGTGATTTTTACGTATGTTGTCAAAATTCAAAATTTAAATGCTTATAAAAAAAGTCACTCAAATGTTTTGAAAATTTTACCATGTCTAGGTAAGGCTAAAATAAGTAAACAAGTCGAATTTCGAGTTTTTACGAATGTTTTTAACCAAATTACAACAAAAAACTCACAAAATTGAAATGATTAAAAATAGCTCAAAAATGGCTAACATTTTCCGAACTTTAAACCGTATGGAACAAAATCCAAAATACAACAAAAATATCTCTTGTTATTTTTCATTTGAAGCAATATTTCTGGTAGATAATGTCGTMCGAAATTATTTAGTATTATAAAATCGTGAAATTGTACGTTTTTTTTCCTTTAACCGCTTTTATTTCGAGTACTGTTTCGAATATCGAAAAACGACCTTTCAAAGTACCAGCTCAAGAATATTACCTTTCGGAAAATATGCTACACTTGATACTATTGGGCAAGTTTAGAGGGAGAAAAAGTGTTAACAAAATAAAAAATAAATAAACCATCATTGTAAAACCAATTAGTATGTCATATTATGTACAGTAATAAGGTTTTAGTGGCAATTATTGTTTTATGTTTATCACAGCAATGTAAAAGATTTTTAATTTGAACATCTAAAATGTAATTATATGCATGTTAATTGATAGTACCTATTTAATACTTGAAAAAAATTGTAATACCAATAACCAATACTAGTGGTCAGGAGTAGCACACTAATTGAAGCAATCAACAAAATATCATTAATTCGTAAGAATACACTAATGAAGCAAGATGTTATAGCTATTTACAGTTAACATGGCGAAAAATGTCAGTCCAATGGCCAATTGTCAAATAATTAAAAACTAAATAACTAATAAAAAAAATTATAAAAAAAATAGCAAAAGAGTAGTGTCCCGGCCACTGACCCAGGGGCGTCATTTGGGGGGGTGGCAGGGTGTGCGGTTGCACCCCTTACTTTTAGAATGTTACAATTGGCCTGCGCCTTGCTGAAGCCTAAAATAATGCACGAGCCACGAATGCACAAATATTTATATGATTAAAATCAAATTGTGATAACCGGTCTATAATGTATGGAAATAATTGAATGCAGGATAATATACATATACGTATATGTACCTATATCTATTTTTATATGGCCTGGTGAAATTTCAAAATGGCCTGCTTGAACTTCGCACACCGGAAAAAAAACCTGAAATGACGCCCCTGCACTGACCAATAATCAAAATTGTACAAAGCTCTTAATATATAGGCTATAATGTGTAAATAAAAGCTTAGTAAACATAATTATTAGTGCATTGTATACAAAAGTAAAAAATACAAAATAGTGTAGTTTCATACTGATAAATACTAATACATACCAATACCAACATATTTTTATATTAGCTCCAGTGATTTAGATAGTTACATTCAACATAGATCAGAATACAAATTTTTTTTTTTTAAATGTTATACCTTAAAGAATAAATATATTATCTTGTATAATAATAATGAGCAATTGATATTATTATCATTTGGTACTTAAATGAAGAATGAAGAATGATAATTGTTAATAAATGTGATGTGGTGATGTCAGGTAATAAAAATTAAATTAAATTAAAAACAACTATGAGTTATTGTATAACATTTTATCTATTGTACTCGGTGGCCTCTAAATTACTTATTACTTTTAAATATGAATAATAAATAGTTAACATTAAAAATGCTATCTAAATAATGGTTTCATAAATGTTTTTAGAATTCAATATAATAGGTATGAACATTAATTTAACTTACAAAAATTATTTGAAAAATAATTACATTCTTATAACATATATAATATGTAGCCAAAATTAAAAAAAAGATCAAAAGTAGAGTTTAGTACCTATTAAAATGGCAATATTTGTTGATAATAAATGTAGTTACTAGGTTCACATATGAATTTGTTTCAAATATTATGATAATAAATATAAATGTATGTCTAATGTTTCAAAATTGATTACCTTCAGAGTTGGCAAACCTCTTCAAGGGAATAACAGACTTAAAATATTCTTTAAGGTTCTCAGGTACCATGTCAGTCATAGGAGTGGTTGTAAACCCCGGCAACACAGTGTTACATCTGATGTTATACCTATTAGTAAAACAATACAATTTTAATAAAATCATATATACTCATATATATATTTTTTTTATTGATTAAAAATAAGATATTCTCAGCCATGTGCTAACTATATCTATAGATACTACATATATACATTTGAAATTTTTAGCTTGATGGTTAGTTCATTAACAAGTTTAATATTAGCGATTACCTTATTAGTGTGTGGTGTAATGTAGGTATAACTTGAATAAGAAATCCGGTAAAAATAATTATGGAGAAATAATGGTTTTGATAATAAGGGAAACAAAACAGAGGAGAGAAGGGAAATAAGAAGATTAATTATTGAGTTTAAATTAGATATGAAACTGGAAAGTGTTGATGATTTGTTCTCAATGTATATCATTTAGAATCATTGTAGACACTAAAATTTAACCAACTTTGCCATTTCTAATGCTATTGTTTTACTGAAGACTTCAACGGCAGCCTTACTAGCCGAGTAATTGCACTGTCCTATGTTACCACGTTGTGCAACTATACTTCCAATATTCACTATGGAACCAGGCAAGTTCTTCTCCACCAGTTCTTTGCAAATGGTTTGAGTGATAAGAAAAGTTCCCTATACATATTATGGAACAATTTTAATATTTTCATAGACACACTTAAAATATTGAATTCAGATTTAAACGTTAATTTCCTTATACTAAACTGTTCTATTACCTTTACATTAACATTAAACACATTATCAAAATCTTGCACAGACATTTTTAACATGAAATTGTCTCTTGTAATTCCTGCAGCATTAACCACTATAGTTGGTGGCCCAGAATAATCCGTAAACACTTGTTTTAATACACTTGTGACAGACTCAACATTGGACACATCCAATTGATAACTTTTGTGACCTTCCCCTAAAATTTTTCTTGATAAATTCTATTTCCAATAATTTTTTAATTCTATATTTTTACCTGTGAGCTCTTCAACAGTGGTCTGTACATTGTTTATATTTAAGTCTGCCGCTACTACTGTAGCACCTTCTCTAGCCATCACACGACAAATYGCTCGACCGATGCCTCCTCCGGCTCCTATAACAACACACAACRTGTAATAGATTTGAAATCATTTTTATTAATTTCAAATACTACTTAAAATCACACTTGCCGGTCACAAAAGCTAGTTTTCCAGGTAACATGTCTAAAATGAACAAACGGATAAATTTGAAACAAGTTTCTGATTGAACTACTAATACTGAAGTTTGAAAGACGTCCGACTGCCAGAGGTGAGAGGTTTGACTATTTCAAATTCAATAGAATACAGAAAATAATAATTATTAAGTACACTATTTTTTTTATAGTACACGTCAACCAACCGTGAATCGTGATACTGTGATAGTATTATAGTAATGAGCAGTGAGCAATGAGCATGGCTATGGAATATGGATAATATACCGCACTGGATACGAAATGGCTGGAGGGTGTGAGAGGTGAATCCTCCTTAACGCATACAATGAGTGGGGTACGGGAGCTTCAAGTTTTTGTCAATACTGGCGCTATCTAGGTATCCAAAACAAAAACTAATAAATCGCTAGGCTAATAATTAAGGAGCTTAATTTCCCGTCTATTTTATGCTTCATAAAATATTATATAAACATTTATTATTATTATATATTATTTTTATTATGTATGGTGTCTAGTGTTCGAACTTCTTCGACACACGATATTTTCTTGCACTTTTTCCATTGTTCTATGATAAAGACATAGCTGATATATCTATGCTGGACACTAACCACTAACCTTAAATGTTAAGCAAAGTTACCTCTGCGCAATACAGTTAATATTAATAGCGTTTGGCATTKCAGTTATTTAAGGGTTATCATATAAAGTTGAAACTTCAATTAGCTATAACTTCAAAACTAAGTCCGTCCGCCAAATTCTGACTTCACCATCGTTTTCATACTTGACTTCATAAATTTCAATAGGTAACAATAATTGCAAAAAAAAAGTGTATCCGGTAAAACAGAAATATACCGAATAAAGCARCAGCGAAAGAATGAACCTATATAATTTATTATATATGTGGTTATTTGTGTAAGCAAATACACAAAAACAAACAAATTGTTAAGTATGTCTGAATGCTTTAAAATGTATAACTATAAGTTTTATTTGATTTATTATTTATTGTTGGTAACACATATTATATGTAATTTATTAATATCACACAATTTGAACTCTAGGAAATGACTTGGATAGTTGGATGTAAAATTGTAAAACAACATGAAGCTGCATTTATTAATTTGAAAACTAAAGGTTAGGCTAAATTTAATCATACTAGAATACTAAAAAACATCTCATGAATAAATCAAAATATGAAAATATAAAGTCATAATAGATGGCGTGAACATTTTAAATGGGTTAAAAACTATGCACTATGCTTTCAAGCCTCATAAATAACGTGTATTTTCCAGCGGCTGAATACGAAAATAATAAGTTATACTTACTAGTTATTATTAAATATTAATCAAGGTTATTAATAATTTTGTTGAAAATTCCATGAACAACGGGATTAGATTATTAACCAACTGGCAACTACCTATGATAAAGAAAATACAAGGGAAAGCATTCTATTTTTATATACTTTTACATGAATATATATTTTGTTAGGAGATAAATACTATTAATACATATTTACAAATCATTGTTTTAGTAAGTTAACCCTTCGTTAGTCGCGTGCTTATTTATAACGTCATTGGTCGCGTGGGTTACTATTGTGTCCCATCAATGTTAATCCTTAATAGTAAATTATTGCTGAATTAATACTATTTTTAAATATATCATAACATAGAACACTTCCAGAATGTGTTTATATAATATTTAGTCCAAAATTACCATACTATTGTTCACTGTAAAATATAATGTTATATAATGCATAATAATAATTTTCCAATTTGAATAATACATTTATTTAATCCTGCATGGACAAAATCATAATTACAATAAATTATTTGGCTATTATCTATACACACTGATACAATAAAGCTTAAAAAAAAAAATTACAAATTAAAATAATTTAACTTTAAAAAAAAATGATTTCTGTTTACATATAAGTAATATCATAATTATTATTAAACCAATTTATTTATATATTTTTCACTCTACCACCCACTTCATCATTATCTGACGATGAATCATTTACAGCATCTAATAAGCTCAAAATACGGTTTTGTTCACGTTGATCCATGGTAAAATTTAAAAAAAAAAACACTATCGTAAAAATAATAAAAATATTTACGGCAATAGTCGCGCGGGATACATATGTTACACGGACGAGTTCAACCGTATACAACTGCGTCTAATCGATAACTAAATCGTAAATAGTGATAATAAATGTAACTATGTAAGTGGCGAGTATTATCGAAAGGTATCTAAAATTAGACTTATGAAAAACCAATTGCGATAAAGATATGACATAAACAATAATAGTGGGATACAATAGTAACCCGCGCGACTAACGAAGGGTTAACACGAGGAAGTGTAAAAAAAATTGAAAAATTGGAAGTTGACCCTCCCCCTCCCCCCTCTGCGCAATTGCCTGTCATATATTATATATAAATATCAAGTCAACAATTTGGCCCTCCCTAAAATATTTGGGCCCCAGCCTAGCCCACCTGGTATTAAAATTCTGGCGCCGCCACTGCAGAATAATAATTCTAATTACAGATTAGAATCATTATAATTATTATAATTTATATTTTTGTAAATGGATACCTACATATTATATGAAAGCTTTATGATGCCGTTAATTACCTAGCTTACTAACTAGTATTAAACTAACAGTTTTGAATTTTTTTTTTAAAAGTTCAGCTCAAGAATAAATTTGAATGAATTATATATTATGTAGGTATATTGTTTACTGTCGATCATAAATTAACAATATCTTTTAGTACAATATTAAACATTTCTTATTTTCAAAAGTTATATCTAAGTAGGTAGGTATCTAACCGATATTTGTTCAAGAAATGAGGATCTAAATTACTTGATACATTATAATCTATGAATATTAACCATTTAAAATGATTTTTTTAATGTTTATAAATACTCAAATTTATAATCATTGGTATAATAACTAATAAAATTTGTAATCGGCATTATTTGTTTCGATAAATTTCGATAATGTGGTTATAATATTTAATAATAATATAATGTCACTTATATTGATTCATGTCCCGTTTTTGCAGAACTCGTGTGCTCACTTACCGATCATTAATTAGCGATTCTCAGATTATGTTGTTTTTATGTTAATAATATTTGTCCTTTCATAGGTATTGCGATACATTTTGTAGAACTTATATAATTTATAAATTAGCATGTTGTGTTTGTTTGCGTTCCGTGCCGTTTTAGACAATAGGGCATAATGCCATTTGATATTTTTATGCACCGTTCCTATATCCTACGATTGCTATGGTGTGTAAAACAATTAACTCTACATATTAATATTATATGACGTACACAATGATATGTTTTTTTTGCATATGGGTTCCTACCAAATATTTTATTTTAATAGTATTATTACTATTATTTATGGACGCTCCATCATTATAAATTAAATACTACGACGAAAACTACATATTATGTATATAAAATACCATTTCGTGTGGACCACTGAATACGTGGAGGGATTTTTCGACAACATATGACCCGCAGAATTAGGACGGCAACTACTGATACCAGGCTGTCGCCGTTCCAGCGAAGTACCACCTACTTCACTAGAAGGGCGACAGCGAACAGGCGCGGTCGTCTTGTCCCTCGCGTGGATATAGCGAGTATCGCGCAAGCCGGTGGCACATCTCGGAACACCATGTACGTCGACGATGATCGAACCACATGCTGATGGGGCCTGCAAGATAGTCGAATATCAGATATAGTATACCTAACTTGTCAAATCGCGCACGTCAGCTGACAACAGCAATGAGGAATGACAAAATACGCGCTATCACGTATTGTGCGATCTGCACTCAAAGTATTGCGGCTGAACTTTGAGCGGTGAATGAACACGACACTGCGTTCCGCTTATCCGCCAAGACGGCAAAAACAAAAACTCGATAACTCGGTTACCTATATATGAATCGAGAATGATACATCAATCTGATCACAGCAACGAAAAAGAAAAACACTCACAGTTTCATTTCTACGCGAGGTTTTGAACGGCGGTGATCGAATTCTACGTTTCATTCGTTTTAAGTTTTAACCGTTGAAAAAAGACAATTATTCTATATCTTAGCTGAACATGCACGGATTCGGAAGAAAGCTTGACGCATTTCACAGCACATGTGGACAACGTATTGCGTGCGGAACAGCATATAATAATAATAATAATAATAATAATAATAAATAATAATACATTTATTTATTGCTAGTAAGTAGTAGTTGATAAATGTGTACAAAGTGTATGGTTAACATATGAATTTACTAGCTTTGCTCTACACTGAGGTAAATACCTCTTATCGTAGAGCAAGAATACTAATCTAGATGTAATTAAAAAATTTAATTTAATTTAAAATAAAGAAATAAAAATTCACGATATGATATGATATTTAAGGAATACAGTATAACTTATGACTATACTAAAATTAGTAACAATCATGATTTATAAAGTAATTAAACATTGAATATATATAAATTTTAATAATTAAGCTGTTTAATAAAATAGGTTTTTAAGTATAATACTTCTCATAAATAATAAATAATTAATAGTTTTGAATTATACAATACTTTTAAAAATTATTATAAAACCAATTTTAGATTCTGAACGAAGTATTGATTTTACAATGATGTGTTTTTTTTGTGTCTGTGTACAGCATAACTAGTCGAAATAATGCTTCGATTTCAAACTTAGGGGGTGGTTTCCGATGTAAAATTGAAGATCCTTGGTGCATTATAGAGGTCAAAAGTAAACATTTTCCAACAGTTTTCAAAAAAATCGAGAAAAA